GCCCCAGCGGCGGGCCTGGCGGAGGTGGGGGCCGGGGGTGCCCGGCGTGGGGACGCCCGCCGGGCCTTCGGGTGGCCGGCGCGATCCGGACCCCGCCGGGAGCCCCGAGAGGTAGGTCCCCCCTGGGCCTGCCGTCCGTGGGCGCGGGACCTGCGGCCGTGTCCACCCCTCTCCAGCCGTCCGCTCCCGGGTCCGGCCCGAGGGGTCTGGGCCTGGAGGTGGGGGCTCGCCTGCGCCCCGCTCCCGGGTCAGCGGGCTCCGGGGACTCGTCCCCCCGCCGCTCTGTGCTGCGCACGGACTCTGCCAGCCTGGGCGATCCACGCCGCCCTTCCAGAGCAAGGCCCGCTGCCCCTTCCGTTATTTAATTGCGGCTACCCCAAAATTCACTTGGCGCGTGTACGTTTTCTTTGCTTTTTTCAGACAGAATGGCTAATAATGTGTGAAATCGAGACACTGTAGTTTTCATTCTGATATTTATGCAACTATGGAAAGTTAGTGCTGGAAAGGACTTGAGAAATAGTTGATCCCAGTTCCTTCATTTTACAGAGGAGTAAACAGCACTGAGAGGTAACGTGGATGTTGCAGATTCACGCAGCTGGGTAATGGTACAACAGAAACGGGAATCCAAAGCTACGTTTTTAAGTAGATTTTTTAAAGAAGTAAATAATAAAATTCAGTTAGCGATGTGACGTGAATAGTAGGTTCGTTCAGGCCGAGATTAACCTTGTTAGACAAGGCTTCCTCTTTTTTAAACATTATTTTCTATTTCAGGCTTAATCCTTCTTGGCTTCCAAAGAAAATGGCAGAAACACCATCAGAGCCTTCTGGGCAGCTTGTTGTATACTCAGACACACACAGTGACACTGTCTTGGCCAGTTTTGAGGATCAGAGGAAGAAAGGCTTTCTCTGTGACATTACTTTAATCGTGGAGAATGTGCACTTCCGAGCCCACAAGGCCTTGCTCGCTGCTAGTAGTGAATACTTCTCAATGATGTTTGCTGAAGAGGGGGAGATTGGCCAGTCCATTTATATGCTGGAAGGCATGGTTGCAGACACATTTGGTATCCTGCTGGAATTTATCTACACGGGTTGTCTCCAGGCCAGTGAGAAAAGTACAGAACAAATCCTGGCTACTGCTCAGTTCTTAAAAGTCTATGACCTGGTAAAAGCTTACACAGACTTTCAGAATAATCACAGCTCCCCAAAGCCACCAACTTTGAACATGGCTGGTGCTCCAGTGGTTGTTATTTCTAATAAGAAAAATGATCCTCCAAAGCGGAAACGGGGAAGACCAAGAAAAGTCAACAGTTTGCAGGAGGGGAAATCAGAGGTGGCTGCGGAGGAAGAAATACAGCTGAGAGTGAACAATTCAGTTCAGAACAGACAAAACTTTGTGGTTAAAGAAGGAGACAATCGCCTACTGAATGAACAGATTCCAGCAAAAGAAATGGAAGAAGCTGAGCCTGCTTGTGAGTCAGGTAGAGGGGAGGAAATGCCCACTGAAAAAGATGAGAACCTTGATCCCAAGACCCAGGATGGACAGAACAACCAGAGTCGGTACAGCAAGCGAAGGATTCGGAAGTCCGTCAAACTTAAAGATTACAAACTTGTTGGAGATGAAGATGACCAGGGTTCAGCCAAGAGGGTCTGTGGAAGGAGAAGGCGCCCCGGTGGCGCTGAGGCCCGTTGTAAGGACTGTGGCAAAGTCTTTAAGTACAATCACTTTTTAGCAATCCACCAGAGGAGCCACACGGGTAATTTACACTTTCACAGCTTATTGGAATGTGTTTTGGAACAGTAATGATAATAATAGCTTTCATTTATTGTGCAATTTCTGTGTGATGGGCATTGTAATAAAGCCTTTCTATATGCTATTGCATTTAATTCTCACAACAGTCCTGCAAGATAGGTGATGTTATCCCCATTGTACAGATAAAGAGACCAAGTCCTAGAAAGCTTGAGTAACTTGCCCCGTCATCATCCATTTAGTGACAGAGCGGGAGTTTGAACCCAGGTAGCCTGATTCCAGAACGCCTCTTCTTATTTGGAGTTGTTGGTTCAAGGCTTTAATGTCCAGGTATCAAGCCCTAGCCAAATTTATTCTACTTTCTGACTCTTGAACATTCCTCATCTTGACCATAGCTCTGCTTTTGCCCAGGTTTGTCTGGTCAACTTTCTTAGCCTTCTAGCTGTAAATGCCTTCCCTTTCAGTCTCTAGTGCCCAGCACTGGCCTGGAGACCCTTCTGTGAGGATGGAAATGTTCTATGTCTGTGCTGTCCAGTATGGTGGCCACTAGCCACGTGTGGATTTTGAACACTTGACGTGGTGAGTGTGACTGAGGAACTGAGGAATTTTTTATTTTATTTTAGTTAATTTAAATGGTCACCTTACTGGACAGTGCAGCCCTAGCCAGAAATCCCTTCCATCTTTGAGCCCTCTGTTACGCACTTAACTCACTCTCCTTTAGGTTCCATTGTAGTTACTGCTTAAATACTGCTCTACTTAATTGTAAGCTTAAGTATAGGGACTGGGGCTTAAGTCTTCTGTTATCTAGCAGCTTCCTGTCATCTGAGCCAGCTGCATCTAGCACTGTGGTTCTCAGTCTGGCTGCACATTAGAACCACCTAGGGAACTTCTGAAACGACCAGTGCCTGGGCCCCAACCCCAGAGCTGCTGATTTCATTGTCTGGAGCCTTGCTGTTTTTAACAGATAGATTGAGAACCCTGAATTCTGGTTCTTTGAACAAAGCAGACACTTGAGAAATATTTGTTGAACTGTAATAAAGCATAGTTTAAAGAGTTAAATAGTTTTATGACACTGGTTAAGGAAAGCAACATGTAGGACCTTCCCTTTTGCCCCCAGTGTTCTGAAATTTGGCAGTGCATCGTTATTGCGTGGGACTGTTTTCTTCCATTTGGTTGGATACCAGGAGATCCATATGGTCTGGAAGCTCATATTTTTCAGTTCCAGAAAGTTTTCTTGAGTTATTTCATAGACGATTTCTCGCCTCTGTTTTCTCTGTGCTCTCTTTCTGGAACTCCTGCTGTTTGGTCCAGGACCCTCCTAGACCCATCCTTTAACTTCCTTATCTTGTCTCTTCTATTTTCCATCACTTCTTGCTCTACTTTCTGAGAGATTTCCACTTTTTCTTTCCGCCCTTATAGTTTTTCTATTTCTACTTATTTTTTTACTTCTAAGAGCTCTTTTTTCTCTGAATTTTTTTTTAAATTTTATTAGAATCCTCTTTCTGTTTCACAATGTAATGTCTTACCTCTGTGAGCATGGTAATGATCATGTTTACTTATTTGTTAGGTTTTAATGTTTTCCTCACCTGGGGCAGTTTCTGTTTTCTGCAAGTTGCTTTTTTTCTTGTTTGTTCTGGTATCTGTTTCAACTACTAAAATCCTTCCTTGAATGGTGATTTTTTTAAAAAATCATAATCGTATGTAAGAATGGTTTTCTAAAAGCTACTAGCAGGTCTGCGGGTGTGAAGAGGGCCTGTAGACAGCGGCCTGGCTGAGGGTGACGTGGCTGGCCGCCACTTCCTTGCTGATGCCTGGCATCCAGCTTCAGCTTTCGTACCTCGGCCCTTCACATTCTAGGTGAAGACACTCCACTCTCCCACTCGGGGGCTGTAGGCCTGGCTGCCAGTGTCTAGAGTGGGGCGGGGAAGAAGGTGGGTGTGGGGGGTGCTCTCATCATCTCAGACATAAACTTTGACTTGCCCTCCGTGTGGTAGTCCCATTGCACTGTGCCTGGAGACCTCTGATCAGAGACCCCTAGGCCAGAGACCCTTCATTTTACCCGCTGCAGAGAGCAGTCTCCATCTTCTGTTGGTATAGGGTCCGTCTCCGGGCTGCATGGGTGGGAGTCTGGATCTGAGTTGGGGGGTCTACCTACCTTTGAAACAGTGTCATTTATGCTCCTTACCCGCGTTTTCAGAGAAAACAGGTGCCACCAATTCCTGAGCCTTATGGAGGCTCAGTCTTAAAAATTAGGTTGTATCTCAGCTCCACTCTCTGCTGGCAGCAGATTCGTCTAGTCCAGCTTGCAGAATTTTATTGCTGATGTTGTCTCTCCTGTTCATTGGCCTTTTGGACATGTGCCTTTTAAGAAAAATCCCTTTGTTGTCATTGTAATTTGGGAGGGAACAGAAAGATGTGGAGATTCTTGCTTACACCATGGTTCTGGGGCTCTTATTCCAGGGGAGCGACCTTTCAAATGTAATGAGTGTGGAAAAGGCTTTGCCCAGAAGCACTCCCTGCAGGTCCACACCCGGATGCACACGGGCGAGCGGCCGTACACCTGCAGCGTGTGCAGTAAGGCTCTCACCACCAAGCATTCGCTGCTGGAGCACATGAGCCTACACTCAGGTAGCCGGGCTTGCACCAGAGGGCCGACTGCCACCAGGCTCCCATTCCCAGGGTGGGCGTTACAGGATCCAAATGGTGATTTCTCAGCCTCGTATCATTTCCCACATGGTGTCATTGGAGGACAGAATTATGCAACTGTCAGAGTGTAGTTTAGAGTTCTGCACAGCATCGAGCCTTAAACTAGGGCTTATCAGCTGGCTGCCAGAAGTTCAGTGTGCAAACGTGGTTTAACCACCAGAGTTTAGAATTATTTTACTTTGGATGCCTTGGGGGGAAACTTGGATTCTCCAGTTTTACCCTAGACTCCACCACTCCCTGTTGCCTTACGTACTGTTGTACATTTATGTTACTGTAGTAGACTCTGAAGGCATTTGGGTTTGTAGACAAGTCATTTGTATCATTTATAAAAATGGGGACCTGGGCCCACTGGTATTTACCTTATTAGTGAGCATTCTGGTTCTTTATACTTTTTCACATGTTTTAGTGTTTTGTTTTTTATTTGGCAGGACAGAAGTCTTTTACCTGTGATCAGTGTGGAAAATATTTCAGCCAGAAAAGACAACTAAAGAGCCATTACCGAGTTCATACAGGTACAATAAAATGAGAAAATCTGGATTGGTGGGTGGGGCAGAAATGCAAACACAAACTATTTCTGAAACACTAGTTTCATATTGTAGACGATGAATGAGTATTTAGGGAAAAGAGTTGTAAAAAGCAATCTAAATTAGATGTCCTTGTGTTATTCCCTACTACCATGTGATTTGTGTTTAATTTTTATACTACAGATTTGGTGCAACACACAAAAACCCTGCAGAATTGGTATCTTTCAGAAGTGCCACTTGACTGAGAGGGCACCAGTTGATCGGTTGTTAGTGGGGCCTGGACAGAGACGTCACCACCTCATAGCTGTCAGTTCAGGCTTTTCTCCCTCCTGGCTCTACCCATTGTCCTTTTTTCTTTCCTAACAACTGATAAGAAATGAGTTGGGGTGGGGAGTGTCATTTGAGATCAATGGCCACAGTCACGTCAGTGCTTCGAGGGAAAAGGGAGGTAACATTTAGGGAGATTGGAAAGGTCCCAGCTCTCTTGAGGAAGCAGTGAGTTGAGATGCACAGGAAAATATTGACTGTTACCAGATTAATAAAAAAATTATTGTTGTTTTATTAAAAGTGCCATATTTAAAGTGATTATTTTTCAGGGAAGTGCTTTAACACAGATCACTGAAGAAATGCAGGGAGAGCATATATGCACTGACACTTTTTTTATTGTTGCGACAAGGCCACTCATTACCGGAATGCAACCACTGCCATCGCAAATTCATGGATGTGTCGCAGCTAAAGAAACATCTACGAACACACACAGGTAAAAGTCCAGCTCGCCCTCTCTTTCCAGTACACTTGATGTTTTCAGGAGAGTGAGGAATGAAGTACTCTGAGTCCACTGCTCAGACTGCAGTTGTGTAAATTGGGTGGGAATTTTATGAGTCCAAGGCAGAACGCAGTCAACATCATTCTGTGGGGAAATCACGTCTCTGTAGGTTAGTAAAACAGAGAGCACTTACTGAGCACTGTTCATACGTGAAATTCATTTAATACTGCAAAATGGTGCAGTCTGAGTCTGGTTCTGTGTTTCACTCTTAATTGACTTCAACATTGAAGATTATCACAAAAATTTTTTAGAAAATTTTGAAACATACACAAAGGTATTATAGACACTGAGGGTTTTTCCGCTTTCTCCCCTAAAACCAGTACTTAAAGCTTAAGCATCGCCACCTCCAGAAAAATCAGCATCAGGGATGACGAGGAGGCAAGATCGATTAGGGGAGGTCAAATTCTTTCATTTCAGATCAGAAAAGTAAAAATGTGGGCCTTTTAGAACCTTTTGATAAGGAGCACTTCTTAAAAATAAACCTGTTAGATAGTTTCTAAGAAAAGCTTTCTATTGTAAGTTGATTATTTAATGATTCTGTTAAATTGTCTACTAAAATTATATATCAGATTGGTTTATGTGCTTTGGACATTTTTTTAAAAATGCAAGTTTTTCTCCGTAAAGTCATTTACTTTCTTAAAGTAAATGTCTCATAGGGTATGAGTTTTATGAAAATGGATCTCTGTACAGTCTTTCTACAGACATTATCATTATAGGTTCTGTGAAATTTAAATCATCCATTTAATACATACGTACGGAACAGTGACTGGGTACCAGGCACTGTTCTTGATCCTGGGGATACAGCGGTAAATGAGATGGACAGAGCCCCTGCTCTTGAGGGGCTAACATCTGAACAGGGAAGACAAAGAACAAATGACTGCGTGACATGTTAGGTGGGGTCCGTGCTATGAAGAACTAAATGCAGGGGAACGGGACTGGTGCAGGCAGGGAAGCTGCCCTCCTCTGTGCAGGCTTGTCTGGGAAGGCCTCACTGATGGGGTGACATCTTGGGTGCAGATCTGAATGCTGTGGGGAGCAAGCAAGCCATTGTGGCTATCCAGGAGAAGAGCTTCCCAGGCAGAGGGAACAGCAGGGGCAGACCCCTGGGATGGGAGAGTTTCTGAGATGCTGGAGAAATGTCAGGAGGCAGGAGTGGCCGTGGCAGAGCCAGGGAGGTGGGAATAGGAAGGAGTGGGGTAGGTGGACACCAGAGGCGGCTGGAGTCCATGTGGTGCAGGGGCTCTCAGCCTAGCTGGGTGCTTCAGTCACCTGAGAAGTTTTAAAAAAGAAAAAGCCTGGTCCCAGCCCCAGAGATTCAGATGGAATTGATCGGGGGTAGCGCCTCAGAATTGACATCTGTAAAAGTTCCCCAGGTAATGTTAGTGTTCGTTCAGGCTTCAGAACTTTCGAGTCCACAGGAAAGACTCTGGATTTTATTCTAAGTGAGAGGACTTTAATGAAAGGAGTGACACAATGTGTTAGAATTTAATAGGATCCCCCCAGCTACCATGTTGGGTGGGGTGAGGCGGGGTGGAGGCCCCGTTAGGAGGCTGTTGCAACAATCAGGGGCTTGGTACAGCGTGCTAGCAGTGGAAGTGGTGACGAGTGTCTAATTCTGGATGTATTCTGAAGGAATTGTCAGTGTGATTTGCTCATGATTGGATGTCGGGGGTGAGAGAAGGGGGAGGCAGAAGCAGCTGGAAGGATGAGAAACTGGAAAAGACTGGGAGGAACAAATCCAGAGTTAGGTGTTGGACGTGGGTCTGAGATGTCTATTTGACATCCAAGTGCAGATGTGGAGGAGGCAGCTGGATGTTTGAGTCTGGAATTCAGGGGAGACGTGCAGGCACGAGAAATTTATGTGCTTCCACACCGGCCTGTAAGTAGCATGTGAAGCTGTGCTGAGAATACCAGGGGAGGGCGTGGAGGTGGAGGAGAGCTGAGGTGCCTTGGTTATGTTGAGTAGTCGGAGATGAGACATTTCATCTTAGTTTTGTCCTCTGAGTATATAAGGTGTACTTGAGGCTCCTGGTCTTTATGAGGAGAGGTAGGCCTTGAAGTGGGCGTGAAAAGGAACTGAGGTCCTCTCTCTATAATCCCAGCAAACTCTTCTCCACCTGTCTACTTTGAGGAGAAGCAGTAAAGGAAAGTGGAAGATATGTGACAAAAAAAAAAGAGACAAAAAGCACTCTGTCAAGTGGTTTGTATGACTTAGAAATAAGAAAAGAAGTCAAAGCCATTAACAAATTGGGCTCTTTGAGGGCAAGGACTGTGACCCACCTGTCCCTAGCACAGAGAGTGTGCACGATGTTGGTGCTGAAAGTGTTGGTATGCCACTTCCCTGCTCCCCGGGCAGAGTGGAAGGTTTTGAAGAGGCTGCCTGGCGGAGCTGGCGCTCACCTCCGCAGACAGTGGTGTGAACACACCTTAGCAGGCAGGTCATGCCCAGAGGGCCAGGGCAAGAAGCACCAAGTGCAACAGCAGGGGCCACGCTCAGTTGGAAAACCGAGACTGTCACCTCTTAGCTCTTTAATGTAAACTCTCTCTGGGTTAGGTGTCCTGTGCCAAGCACAGGTAGTCAAAGATAAATCAGAGATGTTCTCTTCCCTAAGAGAGCATCTTCAGTGGGGGAGATGGATGCGTCTTGAAATGGAGGCAAGGTGTCAGGCAGACGGGCAGTGCCCGTGAGGTGGCTGCAGCTCAGGCTCTGGTGCTCAGACCTTATCCCTGTACCTGCAGCTGGCAGGCTGACAGGGACCGAGCCAAGCCAAGCCAGTCTCACGACTGATAGACCAGTGAATGCATTAACTTAACAGAGGGACTACACCTTTCTGTTGCCTGCAGTACCGCCTTCCTGACATCAGTTTACCTGAAAACCAAGTTAGTGATCAGAAGAGTGCTTGATGAGCTGGGGGCAAGTTCAGGGAATTAGCCCAGGCGGTGGAGAAGCCTGGTGAGTGACCTCTGACCCCCCAATACAGTCCCAGCCCTCAGTGTCCCTGTCCGTTGGATGGTGTTAGGTAAACACTGGTTCTGCCCTAAGGGCTCCCGCTCACATGCAGATGCCCTGCCTAGTAAGACATCGTAAAGGTAGTGAAGTCACAGCTTTCATTCATAGCCTCGTTCTGTTGGATTGGGTTCGTAGCTTCCTAAATCTCCTCCTGGATTTCCAGACCATCCATTAAGTTGCTCATCCCCATCTTTGTGAGATCTGGGGGCCCCTCACCATAACATACCCTTACAGAGTCCACGCGTGATCTAGTGAGAATGTCAGTACAGCGGGCTAAGAGCCTCAGTAGAGTGAACACAGTGACGGAAATGATTCGCTTTCCCTGGGAAGATCTGGGAGAGCACCCCAGAGAAAAGACCCAGATCTTGAGGCCACAGTAAGTGCTGGATGGACAGAGGAAGTGGGAAGAGGTGTTCCCAGACAGGAACAGGGTGTGCGGGGCTTGAGGATGTGACAGGCCAGCATCCGAGGGCCGCAGTGAGGAGTTCCACAGTGAGCAGCTAGGCTGAGATTGCCAACAGGGGGCAGATCCATGGCGAAGGCAGCTGCGGGGGAGATCTCTGAGCAGAGAGAAGGTATATTTTGATTTGTGTATTGAAAAGGACTCAGGCAGCACCAGGAAGATGGTCAGAGAGGGAAGGTCCTGGGGATGAGCCAGTTAGCCGGCTCATTGGGGAAGAAAGATGAAGGCCTTCGGGTTAAGAGAGTGGAAGGAAGAGATGTACTTAAGAGATTTTTAGTCTGGGGAAAAAATAGTCACTGCAAACATGACAAAGTATTAATATCCCAAATATGAAAGAGTGAGGACCCCAGCAGAAAACTGGGCAGGAGACATGAAGGGCACATCACAGAAGACGACACGAGAATGGCCAGTAGATGTATAAAACGATGTTAACTGCATTAATTGTCACAGAAAAAGAAATGTGCACTTGTTTTTGCCCATTAGATTGGCAAATATCTGAGGAAATGGACATCTTTATGTTCTGTTGGTGGGAATAAATTTGGGAACTTTCTGGAAAGAACTTTGACAATATGCATCAAAATGTAAACTGCCCAATTGTGAAAAGATGTTTGCATGAGGATATTCATCATAAGCAGGATTGTTGCAATGTCACAAGCTTAAAAATTACTTAAATGTCCGTCAGTAAGGGATTAGTTAGGTAAATTTTGGACAAGATACACAGTGGAAACAACACACTTTTAAAATGGTGGCGTGGCTTTATTTGACATTACAGACCAGCATGCACTAGATGGTCTCGTGGTGTAAACTGTATACTTACGTGTGTATATGCACCAAGAGATGTCCGTAAAGATGTTCATCGCAGTGTTAAGTAGCTACCTCAAGAGGGGGCTCTGGAGTGGTTTTTCAATACTTCGTACTTTTCAATATTATTTGAGTGTTTTAGAATGAACATGGGTGATTTTTAGAGAAAAACAAAGCAGCTGTTTTAGGAATTAAAATGTACAGAACTGGATTGCCAATTGAATGTGAACGCAGAGTGCACAGAGGATGTCATGTGACTGTTGGGCCTGGCTGGGGCAGGAGCTGGATGGTGCAGCCATTAACCAAGAAAGTCATTCCAGGTTTGAGCTGATGGCAGTGGGAAATCAGCTGTGATACTCAACAAGCCCCCAGTAGTCAGTACTGTCTGGAGCTGAGATGGGGATTTACAAGTCATCAGGGTGGGGTTGGTGGCGTATACTGCTGAGAAGAGGGTCTGGAAGGAAACCCTTGAGTTACTTAGATATTTCTGTCAGCATCCTCCTTGTTGGGACCTGTAGGTCTTGTGTCTCTGCCTTTCCTTTAATTGCCGTTGTGTAATCCTCCTATAACAAACTACCCTCTGGCCCTACTGCCACCCAGGCCCTGTCCCCTCACCTTTTTTCCTTCCTCTCCATCTGCCTCCTGCACCCCCTGGTCCAGGCCTCAGCACTTCATGTGTAGACTATTACAGGCATTCCTGCCTGGTCCTGCTGCCTACAGCCCACCCTACCCATCATTCCCATGTTTTTTTCATAGTACTTTTGTCATGTCGTTCTTCTGCTGGAAACTTCCAGAAGTTCCACAGGTCCTCTGCCTGGAATTTACGGCTTTTTGTGGCCTGGTCTCACCTTTGAGCTCCACCACTCCTCAGAGTGAATCCTTGTACCTCTTTGTCCACATTGTGTGGTCATTTCCAACAGCTGCTTTTTGGCAGTGCTGTTTATCCTAGTACCTGACCCAGGCCTCGCTCCATTCTAGCCAGACCCTGCCTCCTCCACATCCATCATCTTGTCACACTCAGTATTGTTGATACCTCTCATTTTAATGTTTAGTCAAATACAGCCCCACATTACTTGATTACTACATGTATCTTATCTTCTCAGATCGACTGTACATTCTTTTTGAGGCAGTGAGCATGTCTTTTGTTCTTGGCTCTATACTTTGTTGATGGTGTATCAGTGCTTTAGAAGTGAATAAACTGAGGAAGGGCTGGGTCACTCCACTGAAGGCAGTCAAGCTGTGTAACTCTTACCAGAACAGATCAGAAACCAGAGGAGTAGGAAGACTTTCCACAGATTCACCGTGGCTAGGAAGGTTTGTCTTCTTACTGTCCTGGAGGATGTTCCAGGAAAGAATTTCCATTATTTAAAACATTTGCCAACAGAAAGACTTGCTGAGATGTTGTAAACCCAAACCCAGATGGAATTGAATGATAAAGTTAGCATTGCTGGATGTGTTTCCCACACAGAACTTTATAGTGACAAGCAAACAGAGCAGGTCCTCAGTCTTTGAATCTGGAGAGGGAGAAGATAGACCGAGATCAGAGTAGGCCCCAGCTCTGATTTGGAAAGCTATTGAAAGATAATGGCAGTGGCCTGGTTTTAACCTTTGGAGTGGTAAGAGTTATTGATGCAAAGATGCAGACTCATGCAGGTTGTCACAAGTGTCTTCTGCCTAGGTGGAGCTTGGAAGAATGTCTAGCCTGAGTTTTCCAGTAGATGCTGTGAAAGGAAAGCTACCTGACCATCCTCCACTTCAAATGCGCTCATCTCTTGCTGTTTTCTAGCTAAGCTGGATTTTGTTTGTTTTCTTTTCTTTTTTTTTTAAATTCATAGTTCCTTTGCCTGCATTAGGATCACTTAATTTTGTCTCTGGAAGGCATGACAGTCTGTTATTTTGTGTGCAGTATACAAACTAATGCTGAATAAATGCTTTTCGAAGCTTTATTAATTCATAGTGGGGTCTGGGGCAGTCACAACATCCTGTGTGGGCCTTAGTTCCACTCTGTGAAATTCATTAATTCAACAGGATTTCTGGAACAGTGTGCCAGGCCCAATTCTAGGCACTGGGGTACTACGAGTAGAGAGAGTAAACAATATGTATAGTATATGAGGTGGTAACAGCCTTGTGGGAAAACTAACTCAAGGCAGTGGACTAAGAAGTATTGGGGGTGGACCGGTACTGATGAAGCCTCTCTGGTAAAGTGACATTTGAGCAGAGACTTGGAGGCAGTGTGGAGAGAGACCCCCTGGGGGAGACATACCAGGGAGAGGGCTGGCTGAGCACGAGGGCCCTGAGCTGGGCTTCCTTGGAGTGAGGTGTTCAGTGCCTCTTCAGGATGCCTGCAAGTCTGAATCGGTGAACTAGGGGAGAGTGCCTGATGAGGGTGGGTAGGTTTGGGGTGAGGAATGGGAGTGGGCGGACAGATCTGGGATTCTTTGTATGCCCAGGGCTTTGGTTTTTATATCGGGATGGGGATAGGGAGCCTTTAAAGTGTTTGCAGCAGATGCTTGAACTGGTCTGGCTGCCTAAAGGATCACTCTGGTTGCTGCATTGATTGTGGACGACAGACAAGCAGGAGCCAAAGTGGGGAGACCTGTTAGGAGGCTGCTACAGAGAGACGGCAGTGGCCTGGACTAGGGGTATCAGAGGAGGCGGTGAGAAGTGGTCGGAGTCAGGCTGCAGTTGGAGGGTAGATAGAAACATGAGTAATATGTAAGTCACCCAGTGCACAGGGGTCCTTATGAAGGTCAAGAGGGCTGCCTAACCAGGCAGTAAGGTATGAGCATGTCAGTTACCTAAGGGTAGATTGTACAGGAGTAAGTGTGGTGTGTTCCTTTGTTTCCTACGTAAAGGACTCACTCACCTCCTTGTTTCGGTTTTTAAGTTTTTAAGGAAAAGAACCATACCTTACGCTTTCTCTGTATCCACACAGTGCTCAGGTGCATAGTAGGTGCTTGTTGAGTGCTTCATTCATTCCTGCTTTTTGAGGATTCTAGCGGTGTTGCTTTTCTTCTTTTTTATATTGTGAAACTATGGAGTGAGTTTTGCTTTTTGTTTTATGTTGAGTGTATATTTCTAAAGACTTTGCCTTTTTTAGGTGAGAAGCCATTTACTTGTGAAATCTGTGGCAAATCTTTCACAGCAAAGAGTTCTCTGCAGACCCACATCAGGATCCATCGGTAAAGTTTTGCAGATGTTTCTCTTGTGGTGTCCTCATTCAACCCTGGTGTTCAGTAGGGTGACATATGTTACCTATACAGCTCTTTTCCCCAAATTATTACTCTGGTAGAATTTTCTGTGTATTTTATTATTTTATCTTTTCAATAAAGAAATTCCTCATGCAAAATCAAGAAAACTGATTCTGGCCAGCAAAAGATTGCGTTATTGATTTCATTTCTTGAATTTTGATTTTGGGCTGAGGGCTGGTCCAAAGCTTAAATCTTCAAAAATAAATATTAAATTTAATGTTTTCTGAATAATGTTTTTGTTCATACAACTCACTTCCAGATTGGATTTAGTAGTCCTTCTAACAGCATCACAAATAATTAGGGGCTATTCAGTTTTTTAATATTGAAATGATCATATATATTTATTTGGCCATTAGAGTCTAATATTTAGTTGTGAGAACTAAAACAAAACAAAAAATTGTATTGTAATATATAAATGTTTACTTTCTTATCTGAAATAAAGATTATGGAATCATAAAATTTTATCACGCCTAGCCCAGCCTCATCCACCGCCCTTCCTGAAACACCACCCCCACCTTTTGTTTTTTAAGATTAGAAACTGAAGCTCATGGAAGTTGTGACTCGCTCCAGTTCCTTAAGTTAGTCGGAGAACTCGTGACTTATGACTCCTGGTCAAGTTAATTTTCCTCTATTCTCGAGTGCTTCTCCCTAAATAAACAGGAAGTAATAAACAGATCTTTCTGTTTTTAATATAAAATATATATTTTCTTATAGAGGAGAAAAGCCATACTCCTGTGGCATTTGTGGCAAATCCTTCTCGGACTCCAGTGCCAAGAGGAGACACTGCATTCTACACACGGGCAAAAAGCCTTTCTCCTGCCCTGAGTGTAACTTACAGTTTGCTCGCTTAGACAACTTGAAGGCTCACTTGAAAATCCATAGCAAAGAGAAACAGGTGTCCGATGCCAACAGCGTTTCCGGCAATACTACTACTGAAGAGGTCAGAAATATTCTTCAGCTGCAGCCATATCAACTCTCCACCTCCGGAGAGCAGGAAATTCAGCTTCTTGTGACTGATTCTGTGCATAACATCAATTTCATGCCTGGTCCTAGCCAAGGAATCAGCATTGTCGCTTCAGAGAGTTCCCAGAACATGACCGCAGACCAGGCTGCTAATCTCACCCTCCTCACGCAACAGCCAGAACAGCTGCAGAATTTAATTCTTTCAGCTCAACAGGAGCAAACAGAACACATTCAGAGCCTCGATATGATTGAAAGCCAGATGGAACCCTCACAGACTGAGCCGGTGCACGTAATCACACTCTCCAAGGAAACCTTGGAACATCTTCACGCCCATCAAGAGCAAACAGGAGAGCTCCATTTAGCAAGTGCTTCAGATCCAGCTCAGCACCTGCAGCTGACACAGGAGCCTGCTCCGCTGCCGCCCACCCACCACGTGCCGCAGCCCACACGGCTTAGCCAGGAGCAGAGCTGACCTGAAAACGTGTTTGACTGCTCTGTCAGTCTCTTCTCCATAAGCCAGCCATAACAGCCATAACTGGATTGTGTGCTTGAAGTCGGGCTTTGTGAGACTCTCACTTACAGATCCTTACAGAGATGTGATAACTAGCTGACAGTTACAATGCTTTCCATCCGGGCAGCAGGATGTGTGTATCATGTCTTATATAAAGTACTGATTTGGATTTAGTATTTCAATACTGATGAATGGCTTTCCTTTTCATCTACTACATCTCTTAAAGACTTGTGTAATTTTTCTTTAGGGGCATTGATTTAGACTTTTCTGTAAGTATTAAATGTTCACAGCCATAGGTTATGGTCTTGCTGACCTTTCCAGTTATATTTTTTATTTTTTAGAACAAAGCAAGTCATACGTTGAATTGGGTAGAGTGGTTGGTTTCACTTTCTCATCTCTAAGGCAACACAATTGCCACTATAAGACAAGTCAGGGCTGAGTAAGACAGATCACAACTTTAGGGAATCTCTCCTTTTAATAACTTCCAATCCCCAGACATAGTAACTCTCAACATTTAATATTTGTGTGGTATGATGGGCTCATCATGTCACGTTTAAGATAGATTCAAAGACATACAAATTAAATGTCTATTTTAACTCAAAATTCATAGAACAAGAAAGCCAAAAGTATAAGATTATTTTTAAAATTCTGAATTCAACTTTTCTGAGAAACAGATTTACATATTTTTTAAAAGCAGGTTATTGAAAATTTAATTAGAAAGTCTAATTAAAGTATGAAATTGGGTCAAGGTATTCACCCCAAATAAATTCTGAATTTTGTCATCAATATTTGATCTTCATGCTTCATGATGAAGTTAAAGCTTTCTTAATTAGCCTGGAATATAAAATTTTATTCAGTGTAATTTGTGTTAAATATACTCTACTGAATTCTAATTGATTTCTGAAAATGTTGATCTGTGTATGGTGTCTGATAACTTTCTGGAGATGGGAACTTAAAATCTATTTTTATTGGAAAGTAGCCACAAAATGGACACATCATTTTTAAAAGTAAATATTCTTCTCCTAATCTTAAAAATAATTTTGAGCCTCAGAGACTTAATAGGCAGCATGTGTCTGTAATCATTGTATGATTTTAAATAATCATCAAAAGATTAAATTGTTTGGGTTAGGTTTTCATATTTTATTGGTTATATTAGGTTAGCATATTTTATTGAATACTGTGACTGCTTTCTTTCAAGTAAACTGGTAGAGGATTTTTGAGAAAAGAAGGTGAGCACTAGTATATGTAAATTTACATAATGCTGGTGGAGAATAGGGGTAATCTACCCTAAAATTAACAGTCTTCACATCAGTTACTTGTTTCCTTGTTTTAGACATCTTTGATGTCCACCCGAATCAAATAAGTTTTTTGGAGGTTAAAGTAATAGAAAATTGTTCAGGTTTGAGAGAAGATGAAGGCATTTTTCTAACATATTTGCCAAACTCTATTTTATTGTATATAATTCATAGAATTTCCAAAATGATTTATCTTATATGTATCAACCAAAGTAATGTTAAATCAGGCCTGATTAGAGCAAAGGTATAGTTTTTACAAATACAGTTATGCCCTAAATAATTATTTCAGGTTCTTCACTTAGTCATTTAAACTATTTATTTTAACCTAATTCTTAAAATGCAAAGACTTTACCAGCTTTTCAAAGCCTACTGGCCCACATTTTCTCCAGGAGACACATAGTATTAAAGTAAATGAATTTTTAACAACTCACTCTTGGATAGCTGGATAATTATTCAGGATATACAGTCACATGACTATAAAGTCAAGTTTAATTAGCTTGATGACAGTCTACCTCTGTGCTAAGAGAAATATAATGTGAGCCGCATATGTAATTTTAAATTTTCTAGTAGCCACATTAAAAACATAAAAAGATGAAATTAATTTTAATAAAATAGTTTATTTAATCCAACATTTGCCAAATAGTATCATTTCAACATGTAATCAATATAAAAATGTATTAAGATATTTTACATCCTTTTTTTCACAGTAAGTCTTCAAAATCTGGTGTGTATTTTACACTTAGTGTATACTCAATTTGGATGCTAATGTTCATTGGACATACTTGATCTATATTTAGAGTTCATACAATTTACAGTTGAACACCTAGATTCACATTCAAGTAGTTGCAGATGTACTTAATTTTTTTTTCAATAATTGAAACCAGTATCAGTTTTTAAATTAAAATTAATTAAAACCCAGTTCCTCTGTCACACTAGCCACATGTTTGATAGCCACATGTGGTTGGGGGCTCCTGTATTGTACAGCACAGGCCTGCCTGTTTCTAGCTCGAGAGCCAGTCTCAGTCATAAAAATATCTTCTGGAAGACTGCTGGGTTCTTTACGAGGTGTCAAAGGAAAAGGAGAAAATGATAGCTTGATAAATCTAGGCTCTCTTCTGTGACTCAAATACACATTCTGCCCCTTTGGATGAAATCCTGAATTTTAAAGTTCAGTGACTGTACCCAAAGGAAATGTCATGTATGGAAAAATGTTTCCATTGTGTCTTGGAGAAGTCACTGGCTCAGTTCCACAGCTCATTTTGTACTAAACTTGCACAATTTTTAAAATTGTTTTAACAAGTGCAGAATACAAATCGTACTTCTTGGGAAATAGTAGAATATTATGCTTTCAGGCTACTGAAATGACCTCGACTTTCGAAGGTGCATCTCTCTGGTTTTCTTTCAGCAGAGGGCCAGCCTTGGGGAGACATGAGCTCTTGCCACTGAGTAAGTTATTCTCGTGCTTGCCCCTGTGTTTCTTGAAACTCATCTTCCTACCTCTACTCTGTGTATTTTCTGCAGTTGGTTCTTACGTTGTAAATGTGAGCAACCCGTTAAATAATGCTGAGGAATACAACGAGATTCTCATTATAGATGCTTACATCTAGGTTTTCATCAATTGGAGTAATAACATCTGCCACATTTTGAGTCTTTGCAAGAGGCCAGAAGTGAAGTCCAGTGTATTAGGTCTGTATCTTATCCTAGTGCTTCTCAAATGTCTTCCATATCATGGTGCACAAAAAGTAGGATGTATACAGCACCCTGAAGTTAGAGGACTCCAGTCCCCTGTGGCCATGACTGGCATATTAGCTTGCTAGGGTGGCCATAACAAATACTACAGACTGGGTGGCTTAAAAAACAGAAATTTATTTTCTCGTAACTCTGGAAGCTAAAGTCCCAGATCAAGGTGTTGGCAGGATTGGTTTCTTCTGAGGCCTCCTGGCCATCTTTTCCTCCCTGTGTCTTCACATGGGCTTCCCTCTGCAGGTGTTTGTCTTAATGTCCTTATAAGGACACCAGTCATATTGGATCAGGGCCCACCCTAATGACCACATTTTAACTTAGTTACCTCTTTAAAGGCCCTATCTCCAAATACAGTCACATTCTGAGGTACTGGCAGTTAGGACATCAACATAAATTTGGGGGGGGGGGTCACAATTCAGCCCATAACAACAGCCATCTGGAATGAGGAGGGCAGCAGTGTCTGGGACACACCTGTAACCCATTTGAAGCACAATCTTATTTTACTTAATCTTCATGACATTCCTATGAGGTAAGTAATATTATTATGCCTATTTTACAGATGAGAACATTGAAGTCCAAACAGATGAAGTCCATTGCCCAAGGTCACACAGTAAGTAGAGCCAGAACTGGGTCATAGGCTAGCTGATCCCACTACACTGCTTCCACCCGATGGGCTTTCTATCGCCAGTCTTTTGAAACTTTAAGCTGGATTTCTCTTTACATATGATCTGCCTAATGTAATAGAACCTTTTTGACTAAAATTGAGGATCTGTGCCTTAAATTTTAGCATATAATCAAACTTTTTACATAAAACAATAATAGTAAAAGTTACAGTCTCCTGCAGAAATGTAATAACATTAATAATATTCATATTAGTATTTTACTATTGATTTAAAGCTTAACCGAAATTTACCAATTGGATGAAAGTTACTGCTAGGGTGAAAATGGCTTAACTAACGTGGACCTCGGTGAGTGAGCCACTTTTTCAAACTTCTGAGGATATTTCACATTTAGGGCAGATTTGTTTTATTTTTGCTACCCTTATTTGTAAGTATTGCAGTAAGTTTTCATCCTGAGTTTCCAAACTAAAATAAGCCTAAATTCTTAAGTATTGAAAGAAAACTCTTTGTCCTGCTTTTGTAAACAGCAGGCTTGGAGAAATGACCCCTAAAAAAATCCCCTTTGCCTTCCTTTTGTAAACAGCAGGTATCAAGGAATGATCTCTAAAAAAGCTGGAATGTCACTGTGATAGTTTATCTTGCTTTCAAATTCTTTACACATAATCAAAACAACAAACACTTTTGTTGACTGGAATATAGAATCATTCTCATTTGAAACGAGAGCTTTTATACTAAAGCTCATTCAATAGGTAATATTAGCAAGAGACCTTAGCTTTTTTTTTTTTTTTTAAAAACATGAGTCTATGTGCAATGTAACATGTAGAAAGAGGGAAGAATCTGAGCAGGAGTCAGGTCCGGGAACTTGCCTGGTCTTAGAGCATGAATTTATTATTTATTTTGAATTCTTAATATCCATAATAAGTCATTTTAAATATGAGTTTGAAGACTTTCCAAAGAACAGTTTGGCTCTTGGTTTTAGTTCATTCCTATTACTTTTATCCTTGTTGGATGAAAAGTTAAACTGAAACTTCCTTAGCCTAAGTTAGAGTTACAAACCAAACTCTTTACATTTTTAAAATCCACCTCTCAGATAATCCTAGTATGATTAAGTGACTCCTGGACAAATTTTTCCTATAATCTTAGTGTTTGAAGTATGAAAGCACTCTCATAACAAAAATACAGGAAAGTCTTTAAAAACTGATCCTGAACCTATTGGGATTTTTAACCTTTGCAGCCTCTCAGGGTAGAGTCTCAGGTGTTATCTTGACCTTTATGAAATCACCATGCTTCTGGGAAAGGCCCCTGAATCAAACTCAGCATATGGAGGGATAAAGTCTCAGGGAAGAGTGGGAAAGAACAGGGGACTCAAATTTGTTTGTGACTCACTCATCTTATCAGCCAGGACAGAAAGCTGGGTTTCATTCTTGATAGGGCCCGCCTCACCCCCACCCAGTCCATCACCAAGTTACCTCAGTGTCACCCCAAACTAGAATCCATCCCCTTCTCCCATCCTGCTGCTGCACCACGTCCTTGC